ATTATTCATCAGAATTTCTTAATAGCTTTATTACCCAGCCTAGCTGCTAGTTATAACACACAAGGAAATTCAAACCCAAACTCATATGTTGCAGCATTCTTTGTTACTCAGATGTAGGTGCTGTACATATTCTGTCCTCCACCACAGAATGCATGGTTTTAAGTCCATGATTAACTGCAACAACTTGCATCATAGCAGATGTATTTTGTTGATTCTGGTTTCCACATGCTTTCTCACTAAATAGAATAATATTTTACTTTGAGACTGGCATAATGCTTTACTGTTGACACCTATCAAATACTCTATTAAAGAAGTATGTTGAATTTCAGAACTCTCTCGAAAGCTTCATATTTCAAATATTGTCTGTAATTGTTTCACCTTAATGTAAATATTTTGGGCCTCATGTTTAGAGATACCAAAAATTTTCTATTCCAGTTTAAAAAAAAAGCAGGCCTGAAAAATCAGGTTCCTAATTTTAAAAAGGCACAATTACAAACTCTTTGAGATTTGAGCTAATAGATACAATTGTGGGTAAACAAATATTATTTCTACTCCAGACCTTTAAATCTTAACATCCTAAAAAAATAAAAATACCAGCAAATGATAATAAAATCGTGATCCTGAATGATAGAAATATACAATTTTTAAAGTCATATTTTGTTAGCTTGTGCATAGAAAGCACTGCTGACTGCTTTAGCCAGTTGCACTGAAATTAAAGTTTCTAAACCAGTTAAAGGTGGAGCAAATAGTGATTGTGTCCTAGAGAATTTAGTAATTATCAAGAACAAATTGGTACTCAGTTAAAGCAGTCATAAAATTCAGTTCATAGAGAAAATAAATAATAGCCACATTATTGTGACTGCATCATTCATATAGCTGTCCTTCCAGGCTGGAGTGGGACTAGAGCACAGTGTACAATTCAGCAGGGTAGAAATGAAGAGGTAATTTCCCAGAAAAGATCTGGGCCTTTATATGGGTCAGAATCTGCCCCTTTGTTCTTCATTTAACTGTATGGACCCAATTCTCATTCTAATTTCACAAAACTAATTCTACTTCTGCTGTTCCAAGTGGAAAGGAAATGTATGCACATTTTAAGTCCTGTTTAGACCACCAGAGTGATGTAAAGCTCTCTCTGTAACTGAGAATTGGGCTCTACATGTCTATAACACTGAGATCAAAAGAAAGGCTGCAGCTTATTAAAAGGCCGTCCAGGCAGAGCTTCAGGACATTAATTTGAAATCTTGCTGCTTGTAATGTTTCATCTGTACTCAGTACATCGTAGCACCTTTGCACATCTCATTTCCACCTAGTCCAAGTGCCAAGCTTTCATTTCTTCCTACTGAGTAGCAACTGTCTTGTATCTCCCAGCTTGTCATCAAGCATTGTGTCCATAATTGCAAGATTTAAAAAAAAAAAAAAAAGTCAAGAAATGATTCTTCAAATAAACTGTGGGACAAAGTGCAGCTAGAAGAGTTTGTGTGCAGTCTGATACATTTTAGATGATTTGTTTTGGAAGTATGTTAATTTTTGGAGCTATGAAACTGGTACTGTCCAGGCTTTTCTTAAGGATCTTCCTAAAGCTTCTTAATTAAAAGAAGCCAAACAAAATAATGCACTGTGTGGTACATTTTGTGTTCTGCACCTTGCTTTGTGACATTCCATCATTTGACGGCATTGATTCGTAACATATTGTTTCACAAGCATAAGGCAAAATCAGTTTCCACACTGCAAAAATACATATTGGGGGAGAGGGGGAGGGAAAGGCATAGTAGTGGTTTGGCCGAATCTCACAGGCTTGGAGTTCAGGATCAGTTCAGATAAAAACCAAATGTTGAGTTTCTTATCTGAGTTTACAGCATGGAAGTTTCCCACCAAATACTTTTAACACTTCCCAGCACAACTGCGCACACTGCAGCAGTCAGGTTCTTGGTCTATGGCTTTGTAGCTTGTCTCTGCCTTCTTTCTCTCTCTTATCCCAGTATCTCCCCAGTTTCTTTTCTCCTGTGATTTTTACCCCGTTGTTTTCATTTCCTGACAGTCACACACACAACAGTGCGTTTGCAGTGGGTGGATGAATGGATGTAGAGTTGTTATTTGTTTCTGGTCTAGGGGCTGGAAATACTCAGTAAAGCTACTTCTCTTGCAGAGCTCTAAAGGAGACAGACCATGGCATTTCTGCCATTCCCTGAGAGTAAATGCCTCAGCCAACACAGCTGCCACTGCAAGTCCAGTGGTGGGTATTTTGTCCCTCATATGTGCACATGGATGAAACAGCCCCACATAAATCCAGTGTGTTGCTGGTGGAAAGGGAGATGTGCATTTCCCTGTGTGTCTCTAGCTGTCCTTCATGATTGAATCCAAGGACTGGTACAGTGATTCTCAGCCAGGGTGCTGGGGTACCTTGAGGTGCCACCAGATCTTTTGAAGCGTGGTGTGAGGAAATAAGTGAGGTGTTGGGAGAAAAGCACAGGCTCAGGCTTGTCCCTGACTGGACAGTCCCCCACCCCCACTACCAGACCCCTCTGCAAGGTGGTAAGCACCATAATCTATGCACTAGTTTTTGAAAGGGGGTGCCACTCAATTCACAAAAGTTACAGAGGAGGACCTCAAGTCCAGTGAGGGGTGCTTCAAATCCAAAAAGGTTAAGAACCCCTGGGCTAGGGTGTCAGGACTGCTAGGGACACATTGTGCCACTTAAAGCAGATGGAGGTGGCTTATCAAGAGCTCCCCCTGTATGAAAAAACTCTCTGCTGGCATACATTTGATGAAGGCATCTTCACAGCCCCCAGTACAGGTCTAACTGCTGCTTCTTGCCCCTGTGTAAGGGGAACGAAAGGAACATGTTCCTGATTCTCCCCTGCAGCAAATTAGGGCTGCCCAGGTGCTGGCCATACTAATCTGTGCCACAGCTGGTTGGATTTGAATTATACAGCTGCACAGGGCTCCCTTTGGCTCTCCCTGTCTGCTACACCCAAGCTGGAAATCAGGGTTTTAGCGACTTTCATATTTCTTATCGTAAACAAAAGAAAACCTTTGCATGTCCCTTTCATCCCTACTGCCTTGTGAAGGGACATTTATTTTAAATAAAATGTGCAAACCATGTGTATTCAGCAAAGGACTAGGTCACATATGTGGGTTGTATGCTGTGTTCTGAAATAGAAAGGAGCCGGATGGGAAGAAGTGCTCTTGGCATCCTGTGAAGTTTAGCAGGCAGGCTGCAGTGCTGCCGTCCAAATGGGGCTTTGTCGAGGTTGGTGGCTTTGTTTCTGTCTATGATACATTCAAGCTTGGAGGTCATGAACATGAGCATCACAACATCCAACCCCAAATTTGTCAGGGTAAGTAGGGTGCTGTCTCTTGGTCACTGCTCTATGGAAAAGGGTTTTTTTCAGGGTGGACAATTATTTGGACTGGAGGGCCACTTGGGGAGTTTTGGTGAGCTGTTGCAGGCTGGGACTGTACCACCCCTGTTCCCCCACCCCTCCATCCCCCCAAAACAGCTCACCAAAACTCCCTAAGTGGCTCTGCCCTGGGGCCTGGCCCCATGCTGTCACCACCTGGCCCCAGCCCCAGGATCTCCATGGACACCAGTCTGGGACCTGTGTGAGCAGGGCACGCTCCGCTAGGTGGATGGGATGTGGCTGCAGGCAGGCAAGGAGTGGCATCTGGGTGTGGGACAGGTGATGGGGTGGAGACCAGGGCTGGGATCATGGAGCGGTGACAGTGCGGGGTCGGGGCCCGGGGCAGAGCTGTGATCCACTGCCCGCATGCCCTTGACAATAGAACTGGTGCCCATCGCAGGGGCATGCAGGCAGCTGATCACAGCTTTTCCCTAAGCCCCAGCCCCATGCTATCACTGCCCTGCGATCCCACCCCAGCCCTGGCCACACCCACTAACCTCACTCCCCATCCACCCCTGGCCCCATCCCAGCTGCTCAGCTGAGCACACCCTGCCTGCACAGGTCCTGAGCTGACTCATGGAGACCCTGCCCGCCAGCTCCATCCAGTGCTAGCGGCAGTGGGTGAAGGGCGGACAGGCTGGAGTGCCCAGGCAGTGGGGCTGGGTCCAGCAGCAGTGGCGATACTAGCAGCGGCAGCTAGAAGGAGCTGCTTCCACTGGGACTGCCAAGAAACAGAGTCCAGCCACTATGCTGCCCCAGCCATGCTGCGCTCCTGGGGGCAGAAAGGGACCAGCTGCATGCGCCACAGCCTGGGATGCCCCCCACATCTGGACCAGGCAGGGCCAAGTGACCCACTGTGGGCCAGATAAAACCTTATGGCAGGCCAGATCCAGCCCACAGGCTATATTTTACCCAC